AAAGAGATGCCAGAAAGGACTGTAACACAAATTATTACTATAGAAACTTCCCTCTATTTTCATTTCAAATCATATGTGCTCTGCCTTCCTCCTCCCACGCTGCTCTTCAGTCAGATCTGCTGAAGTGAGAACACTCCTGCTCCTCAGCCTGACATTTGCAAATCCTGCTCTCAAGGAGCCAAAAAGCCACCCCTGAGCCCGGCCCAGCTGACCCATCAGTCACTGTGGCACAGGCCCAGCGTCTGCCAGAGATGGTAAATGAAACTCTCTGCACTCTGAGTCTCTGAAGTCACAGCCACGTCCAACGTTTTTACTTTCCTGCATTGGTGAGTAATTGGCCGTTTTACCACAGGCAGCCTGGAGCTCCAAAACACCCCTCTGAACACAAGCCCAGCCCAAGGTCTCACAGACTCTCACCCAGCTGTCTCCCCCTCACCAGCCACTGCCTGTCCCTGTCAAAAGCGGTGTCAAGGAAGGGTAAAAGCAGGTGCCCACCCAGCCTGAGGGACCTGCAAGACGTTGTAAGCACAGACTGCAATACACTGTGAGGATAGATTAACACAAACTCCTTGGAAAACCTGCTTTGTTTGATTTCTTGAAGTATCTAACAGTTATCTTCATAAGAAAAGCTGTAAAACATAAACCATAACCCAAAGCACAGCAAAGCACGTTCTTCCTTGGTGAGCAAGGAGCACTACCTAAGGAGATGTTTATGGGCTGTTTGCCTCCACTGTTGGTTCCAGTGAGGAATTTCCATGGAGCACGTGCAGGCAGTTCCACCCACAGAGCCACTGCAGTTTTGTATGTAAACAAAGTAACTGCGCTTAGATGAGAGAGAAAAACTGCAGTGATACACTTGAGGTTCTCTATAATCTGTTGCACTATTTCCTGCTCAGGTAACACTGAAGGTAACAACAAACTTTCCCAAGGAATCTCGAATACTTGATCTTGTTCAGGATGGACCGACTTCCATCAGCAGGAAAAATTCTACTGCTTAAAAGGCACCAATAAGCCCAATTTGTAGCTCCAGACCATAAGACCAAAGTAAAAATATTGGTTCAGCCCTCTGTGCACAAGGAGGAAAAGCAGGGGAGTACAAACAAAATTTTAGTTTTCAGCCATATAGGCTTGGCTTGGGATTAGTCAGTGAACGTCAGGCTGAGGCAGAATGTACTCGAGGTGCTGAGAGCGCCCACACTGAGTAATGTAAAGAAGTCTGCAGAGTGAAAGACAGAATGGGAGAGTTATTTACTGTCTCTTACTATAAAAGAGCTTCAGTTGCATCAAATGAAATTACCAGGCATCAAGTTCGAAAACCTCATGAAAAAAGAGGTGTTTTCCCAATCTAGGCTCCAGTGACATTGTAGAACTCACTGCCCAAGGACGCTGTGGGTTACAGGGATAAAGAAATCAAAAACAAAACAAAACCCCAAACTCAATTACTAAAAAAAAGAGAGAAATGCAAACAGTAAATGATTTTAACTCAAAAAGAACTGAACTCTGACTTTGGATCCAAAAAAAAACAAACAAGGGAAACAAAACCATGTGCCTTGATCCATTTCTGTGCTCCTCCCTGGGCATCTGCCGTGCCCACTCCTGGAGGCAGCTCAAGGACTGGATGTGTCTCTGCTCTGACTTACAGATGCTGTCCTTGTGCTCATGGTACCTCGTCTGTGAATCACAAACCTCCTTCCACAAATGCAAAACCAAAAGCAGTGACTAAAAAACAAAGTCTATGGGTTTGTCAAAGTGAGTAAGGCCCTGCCTCGAACAGCCAGGCCCTCGAGATGGCAGGATGTGCCAACACGCCAAGCACATCCAAGAAACCCAAAAACACCAAGCAAACAAAAGCACTCCTTCAGAGCAAAGTTGTAGCCAGCAGTCCGGGTGTTTTTCCAGCTGTATCAGTTACATCTGGCTGGAATGCTGCCTCTCCAAGAGCTGTACACAACAGCTCTGGCAACAACCCCCTGCTCTGCCCAGCACAAAAGGGATTTTTCCAGCCAAGTACCTCAAAAGTCAAATATTGATGTTATGATTTACCTGGCAAGGCATCCAATCAATGCCTTCACTGCAGGCAGGGAAAATTCCAAAGGCAGTAAATGAAACCAATTAGAACCCATGAAGTTTATGAACACGGGAGGGACAGTGTGTGCAGAAGGATAACTGCAGTGCTTGGATTTGGGTGTCTTTAGCAGAGGACTGGAGGTTCTCCCATGCCATGAGTGCCATGACAGTGACAGGAGAGCTCCTTGCTGGGCACACACACAGAAATGGCTCTTTTCTCCCCACCCCCACCTGGTTCCTCTCCCCAGCCGACAGCTGCTCTGTACACACACAAGTAGGTACGTGAGTCTGTCAAGAGCTGGAAAAACAAAAACACGCTTCCCACTGCTATTACCTCCTGCTTGAGAACTTCAACATTTCAGTTGTGAGTGAGGCTTCCAGGGAAGAATTAAAAATAGCAAGCAGAACACTTATTTTAATGCACAGTAATTCCATGTTTCGTGACATTTCTATCTGTAGAAGGAAAGATGCTTTTATTACAGGTAAGTGCATACTCCAACATTAATAATTTAATTTCCCCAGATGTTAAAAAATGTGTGTTTTGCAGGAGACTACAGAGTTATATTTCTGTTTTTCCCTTCCAAAACCAGGAAGCTCTACAGCATTATTAATGCAGTCACATTTAAACACTGTGCTGAAACAAACAAACAAAAAAATATCAAGGTCATTGGAACTACAGGAATACAATTATTAGTGACAAGTAAATAAGACATTTCAAGTCTGCAGCAGGATTTTACTTGCTGACGTTTTATGTCACTATTAATTGGACAAACAGGGATGGACCCTCCATTCTTGGTTTCCAGGATCCCTTAAAAACAAACAGAAGGAACAGGCCACCCTGAATTCTTTAAACTTCACCTGCCATTAAAATTTCCGATGATTGTGTGGTCATAGGCAAAGCATATTTATTACTGGCAACAGAGCAGGATTAAACAACAACAAAAATAGATCTGGTGATTACTTCAGCTGGAGGCTGGCAATCATCAATCTTGAACTCACACCAAAACTACTTGCTTTCCAATCATGCTTCAACCATTAATGTTGGAAGCAAGTAAGTTTGATTCTTAAAATCCAGGAGCCCATCTTCAGTGTCACCAGTTAAATCTACAAGGAAACTCAGGAACACAGCTACAAATAATATTGGTCACCAGCAATTCACAGTAAGGACTTGTTAGGGGCAAAGAGGACTCTGGATTTGCCTGAAGACTTCTGTTTAAAACTAAGAAAAAAGCTTTACAAATAATGAAACTACTATTTCCCCATTCAACTCCAGCAAGACTTCTGTTTTATAAACAGGTTTGTTTATTTTTAAAGCAACAAGGCAGCATTTGCTCCTGTTCACCAATCTCATTATGACCCTGTGGACTCTTCCTGCCCTTCAAGGTGAAGCTCAACCCCCTGCACAGTGACTGGAGGCCCTGGGTCAGCACTCCCTTGCAGGGCTGAGGGCACAGCACCTTTTATTTTCCATGATGGCCCATCACCCCTGCATTTTGTAAGCAGATCATCACCCCTTCCACCAGCCCAGGGCCCTGGGAATGGGAAGCTCCGTGTGTGAGCACAGCTCAAGGAACGGTGTCACCCCCCAGCAAACGCCAGTTCCTGCACCACCACCCACGGGCACCGGGGAAGAGATTTTTACTGCACACAACTTCTCATCAGCGCTCAATTAAAAAGTGACACACACAAAAAATCCTGCCCAATTTTCTTTCCACTCGAAAAGCGACACTGATGGAAAGAACTAGAATAAATTACGAGTCAGTGGACAGCGTGAAGAAGCAGTACTTCTTTTTTTTTCCTGAGGTTTTAAGCATTTAACAGAATGCTACTGACTAAATTACTCCAACTAATTCTAGACTGTTTGCAATCAACATATATCATGCACAATTGTTCTTGCAATTAGTGTATTATACCAAACTGTTTACAAAGAATGAAAGTATTTGATCTGCATTTCACAGACGTGTTAGATTAAAATACAGATTAACCACATGCCAAATAATTATTAATATTAAAAAGCAGAAAGCAAAAATAGAAGTGACAGTTAAAGGTCAAACAAGTCCTCCAACTATACTCGGGATTATACAACTCTCCAGACACGGGCACTGTTAAAGCCCAGAACAGGCATTTCCTAGAAAGCAGCAAGGTAAGACAATTTGATTTTCACAGAGGAACCAGGTGGGGACACCAACATTGAGCCAGCAAAGCAGAAAACATACACCATCAATGTCCTACACACAGTTTAAAAGCCTGTAAGGCATTAAGGCTGTGTCACGGATGGCATGTGCTTTAAGCAGCCACAGCACTCGTAACCTTTTCGGTATTTCTTAGTCAAGGCAGCTGAAATACACTAAACCAACACACTTTCACTTTTCCTACATGTGACTCCTCCGAGCACAGATCACTCATCTGCAGTTCAATACACCCTTAAACGTCGCGGGCAAGGCCTCACGTATCCCCCTAGAAAATCATTCTGCACAGACAGTTAATGTTTGGTAATGGCAAAGGAATGTATTACCGCTTAAAGCCCCTTAATACATTTGTTGTCACGTAAGGAAAACATTCGAAAACGCTAAGGCCAGCAGGAGCATTTCACGTGGACGGCTCGGTTTACCCGTGAGAATAAACGCTGAAATCAGGCAAGGAAACCGCCACAAAAAAACAGAACCCCCCCCAACCCCCCGCGTTCTGCCAGAGCTCCGGGGGGGCTGCAGGACCCTGACGCTCAGCCCGGAGCCCCCGAGGGTGCAGAACCGCCCGGGAGGGTCCCCTGAAGGCCGAGAGCTGCGCCCGCGGTGCCGGCGGTGGGTGCGGGGGAAGGACGCGGGGAGGGCAGGGCGGCGGTGCCGGGCACGGCGCGGGGGGCCGGGGCCGCTGCCGGCCGTGCCCCGCCATGTGCCCCGCGGGCTGGGGCGGGCCCGGCCCCGCGTACTCACACTCGCGGCAGCTGCAGCGGCGGCGCCCCGCGCCGCTGGAACACGCCGTCCACGAACACGCCGTTCTTGCCGAGGCAGCGCAGGTAGAAGTCGCCCCCCGCGCCGCCCGCGGGGTCGCCCTGCGGCGGGGGCGGCGGCCCGTCCGCGCCGGCCGGCGGCGGCGGGGGCGCGGCGGTGAAGATCTCCAGGTGGCGGCGGGAGATGAAGCTGGAGTGGCCCATGCTCACGTCCACCGAGCCCTGCGAGGAGTTGCGGCCGATGGTCACCGAGCGCTTCTTCATGAGGTACTCGAACTCCCGGCCCTCCAGCCGCGCCACGGCCGCCGCCGCCGCCGCCGCCGCCATCTTAGCGAGGGACGAGCGAGGAGCGGCCCCGCCCGCACCGGCCCCGCGCCGGCCCCGCACACAGCAGGGAACGGGGCCGCGCGCCGGGCCTGACGCACGCGCGCGCTGATTGACAGGCGGCGCGGCCAATGGCGGGCCCGCACGCCCATGGGGCTATGGCCGCGCGGCCAATGGCGGCCGGCAACGGCCCCGCACGGCGCGGGCCCGGCGCGAGAGCGCTGGGGCGCGGCCCGGAAAACGCGGAGCGGAACCGCCCGCGGAGCGCGGAGCGGAGCGGATCGGGCAGCGCCGCCCGCCCGCGGCGGGGACGGGACGGGACGGACGGGGCGGCCCGGGGAGAGACGGCGCTGCCCCCACATCCCCGCCCTCACCGGCCTCCGGCACCCCCGGCACGCTGCTGGCACCCCCCGAGGGGCTTGTGACCCGGGCCACGCACCTGCCCGCCGCCAGCGGCGCCCGCAGGGACGGCACCGGGCGGGGGGGACAGGGCGAGAGTCGCGAATGGAATAAATGCAAGCAGACACACAGTGCTAAAGGGTGGGCACGAGCCACCGCGAGAGTGCTGAGTACCTTCTCCGAGTCAGCCTTAAAATAGACATATTATAATATATAATAATAATAATAATTTCAATCCCTCACACCTCTGACAGAGGGTCACCTTAAACCCAGACGTAACTCGCCATCTCGGAGTTCTGTAACACGCATGGCGAACCAGCACAGCGCCTCACGCTCCCAGGTACGCCGGGCTGTGTCTGCACAGCCCTCCTCGGCTCAGCCCCGGTTTTCTCAGAACTAGGGCACAAAAGCTGAGCGAGAGACCCGACACACGCCCAGACACCCGAGCGCTGGGGCCGGCTGTGCCTGCTCCGAGGGCGCGGCCACGGCGGGGACCGGCACGGGGACAGCACCGAAACAGCGAGACCACAGAGCCAGGGGCACGGCTTGGCCGTGAATACCACGGGCTACCAAACACACAGCGTTAACTGCACTCAGTTTGCCAAGCATCTGCAATGGAAGTGTTCTACCTGATCCGAATCCTCACTAACTGTTACAGGGACCAGGCGCTGTCAGAATTGGGAAGTAAACAATTAAGAAACACTTGTGGCTATAAACTGAGAGGAGGGTGCTAAAATGTATTCATGCCCATATACCAACATCACTACAGCAAAAACATCATGTCAACCAGCCCCCATCACCTCACGGGTTCTCCAGCACGGTTTGTGGAGAAGGGGGTTGTGTTGTTGTTTATTTGGGCTTTTTTTAAAGCACTGAAGCTCACTGTTATTAATAAAATATAAATTGCCCAGAGAAGCTGTGGCTGCCCCATCCCTGGAAGTGTCCAAGGCCAGGTTGGACGGGGCTTGGAGCAACCTGGGCTTGTGGAAAGTGCCCCTGCCCATGGCAGAGGGTGGAATGAGATGAGCTGTAAGGTCTCTCCCAACGCAAACCATTCTCTGAACTCAGTAGACATGAAACATTTTAACGCTTCCGACAGAACCAATCAACTTGTAACAACCCTCCAGCGGCAAATTCGAAATCGAAACTTTCGGTTTCGCACATTTGAGTCAACAGCTCTTCAACTGTACATCTATTTCGCGTTTGCTCAGGAACAGAACACAGTGCCTGCTCCCTGCAAAGGGACTGCAAACCTTAGTCCTACCCTTGGGATTGTACCAGCATTCCTTACAGGCAGCTACAACACAATTCCATCCTGCTTCAGTCCGTTTACACAACCCCACACGCGCATCAGATGCAGCAAAATATAGCAACAGTTTAGAGCTTTGGATTCTTTTAAAGAAAACTTTAGTTAAATCTTGCCCACACTTTGGTATTTAGAGTCAGACTTTCTTCTATACCAGCATATGTTTGGCACAGAAAATGTGGAGCATCAGGGAGCCAGTTATGACTCCCTGATTCTCAGCTTGTTTTTATCCCTTGGCTCTCTGGCTACAGAAATGTTGTTCCTGCTGCACTGACAATCAGGCCGGGATCCTGAGGGCTCTGCTGGCTGAGATTACCCAGGGATTGCCATCTCCAAACACACCCCCAGAGAGGGAAAACCAGCAGATTGGGAGAGCAGCCAGGTGGATTCCCACCAGGCCAGCAGCACTTTTCACCACCCCTATGGCTGCTCGGTTCACACCAGTTAAAGGCATTGCTGCCACTTCGGTGTTTTCCGTTATGTGAATCACAGCTTTGTCAATTTGCATTAATTCATTAATAACATCCAGTACTAAATTCACCAAGCTGATATAATTGCTGTCCTGTTCATAACAGAACTGCAAGAACACAGCCATTAACATGGATTTTTGCAATCCACACTGAAATTCCTTTTTGAAGGGTCCCAGCACCGCTGAGCTGCTCTGGGAAATGGGACTTAACACCAGCAAAAGGTCTGTTTGCCTTTTAATGACCAGCACTGCAGAGCAAACACCAGATCCCATTGTCAGAGGCTCCACTCATTTCAAGAGGAAGGCTGAGATCTTTCTGCCCATGTTTTTCTGGACTGGTGCAGATTTAGGCACTTGGTGACCACACAAAGCCACAGGTACAGGTCACCCTGACCTGCCCATGTGCAGGTCTGGGCCCTACTGCATAAACCAGGAAGCAGGGCAGGCACATGTGTGAACAACTCACACTTACTCACAACTCTCCAGTGCTCTTCTGGGTCTCTAGGTTCCCCAGAAATCCACTCCTTGACCACAACCGTCCCATTCCACATCATTTGTTCCCTGCCAGTTGAGTGTAAGCAAAAGGCCTTTTCCTCTCTCTGCTTTCCATCCACTTTAACTATTCAGGACAGAACCAAGTTACTGAACAAAATTTAATCCTCTCACCAAATTTCTGCAATTGCCACTGACAATGAACAAGGTCTCAAAGCACTCCTTGTGTTTGAGGAGTGTCCCAGAATCAAGTTTCTTGGGTTTTATTATTACATATGTGCCCTGTGCTGAGGGCAATGAAGGGGTGCAGCAGCTTCTCAAGATGCACATTTTCACAGTTCCAGAGCATGGAATACCATTAGAGGAACATGATGAATAATCAAGTAGATTAAGTGACCCTAATTGCTTACTTTGACACAACCAGCATTAAACAGCTTTTACAGGCCATTAGGAGCTATCCATAATCTTTTTATTACAGCAAGTGTCACAAGCTTCCAGTGAGATTTGATTTTTGGTTAAACAAAATCCTACAAAGTTAATTGGCAAAACCACTTCTCGGGAACGTTCACGTGTGATGGAACAAAATCAGCCCTTCAAACACCAGACCCTGTACAAGTGAATGAAAAAAACATTTCCCATATTAACATCCCTGCACCTGACAGGCACATTTTTTTTTCCACTCCCTAGGTGAGAAGCCCCTTGTAAGCAGTAAAAACAGCCTCAAACCCACAGCCACATTTTGAAGTAATCCTGATAACCCGTCCTGGAGCTCCTCACATGCTCAAATTTAACGATGTGTGGAAGACCCAGCAGGACTCGTGCTGTGATTTAGTCATTTTCTCACAAGGGCATTTTGGTCAAGGGGAAAGTGTTAAAAAAGCATGGTGTAATTACAGCAAATATTGAAAACAGCAAATGGCTGGGATGGTGGGGAGCTCCCCAGGAACCCAGCCAGTTCCTGAAGTGACTTTAACATTAGCAGGAGAAAATCAAGAGCTGTGCCTCAAATGTGATTTTGACATTTTCCTGTATGGATGACTCTTTAAGTAATAAAGCTGGGAAGTGTAACACTCCTAAAAAAGCCTAAGACATCCAGAAGAACATGTTCTTGTAGGAAGAATGGGAAGGAAGGTGGAGAGAGCTACCTGAGCTGCCACATGTTAGTGTGCTCCTGACCTTGGAGGGGAGGGGAACGAGCACTGTACAAGCCCAAGCCACCCAGTGGCTCACTCAGTAGAAATGTTTAATTACCCTGTCCATCCTAACCACCATCTGCCTGGTCCCTGACACAACCCAAGGAACAGTCAGCATTTCTTACAAGTGCAAAGGCAGAAAGCTTCTGGCTCAGCAATCAGCCACTGACACAGAGAAAAATTACTTTCCTCCAGGTGGGGAACCCATCCAAAAACTAAGAAAAAAAAAAAATAATCGGGCCAGTTAATTCTTATCTGCAAAGAGCAATTGCACAAATGACCTGAAGGGGTTTGGGGAGGCCAGCAGGCAAGTGGCTCCACACTGGAACAGAGCAACTCTGGGAGTGACCAAAGGATAAAGCCACAATGCCTTGGTGTGTTGTGAGCAACAGCAGAGAACGAAAAAATCAAATACATACCTTGAACAGAGAGTATCCCACCCACCCCCCAGGTGATCACTCCAAAAGGAACTCTCCATCCCCACATCACAAAGTGATTTTTAGAAGCTGCAGCTTCTCTTGCAGAGGTGGTGCAGGCACCTGCAGGAGGGGAGTGCAGCAGCACCATGACCCACAGCAGAACTGGGGCTACAAAAACAGGAATAGAAGTTGTAGCTTGGTTGGCAGACAGAGGCAGATGAGGGGGAGTGGGGAGTGTAAGACAGGGCAAGCCAATGTATAAATAATTTGCATTAATCAAAAGCAGACAGGAATTACAGAAATGTGAATTGACTACATGAAACAGATAAGCAAAGGCAAACTAAAGCCAATATCAAATGTAAAATAATAAGAATCAACATGAAAAATGGGCTTTAACACAATTATTTTCATGACAGAGAGTTCTAATTGAGATCTGGCATTTCAGGAGGAGACAAAGCTTTTATCAAAATCAGTTTGGTTTGGGGTTTTTTCTGTTTGTTTTAAAATCAATGCCATTTGCTCAGCCAACAGAAAGCCAAAAGGAAAGGAACAGTGAAAAACAGAGACGTATTTTTCTTTATGTCTGTCTCTGAAATATTTCTTACTCTGTCCAACAGGGCAATTGCAGAACTAAGCAACCTTCAGACGAGAGTTACTGAGATGTTGAGGTATGAAAAACTATTACACAAAGGTTTAGAAATGGCCATTGTTTGCAGCAGAGACGAGACAAATGTTACCCAAAAAATGTAACGAGGCAAAAGCACAGTGAGAACAACCTCATGTTTGTGAGATTCCTGTAGGAAAAT